GGCGTTTGTTGGTTCGGTTTGGAGCCCTGATCTTTGTTTAGGCCTTTGTTGGGTCGGTTTGGAGCCCTAAACATCATCTCTTGTGCCCAGATTTTAGTTCAAGGCTGTGGTTTAACATCCCACCACAGCTGTAGGGGGCGCCAGAGAGCAGCCGGACTTTAATGTTTTAATGTTTCAGGTTGCTGTGAGCTGTTTAAACCTAGAATATCTGTATCCCGACATCTGGGCAACACAGAACCAAAACTGCCTTTTAAAACAAACCTACTGGCATTTTTACCCACTGTTCAGTCTCATCCTGTGTTCTGTTTCGTCCCGTTTTTGTTTTTAATTCAACTAATTGTGGCATTAAACCTCCTTGGAAATTAGTACGTGAGGCCTAATCATGGATTTTTGGGGGAGGCCTCTACAAGATCTGCTTAAATAAAACAGGAAATAACAATAATAGGTTGATTTATTCTATTTTTTAAAGGAAGAAAGAACAAACCATCATTAAGCTTCCCGTTTTGTCAAGAATTTGAGCAGATAAAACACATTTCAAATCTCTTTTATGAGACCTGTCGTACCACTAATAATGCAATGATGTTTTTTTTGTTTGTTTGTTTGTTTTTTTTCGTTTTTTTTTCAACTCTCAAAGTCTGGAACTTTTACCTTTAATACTCTTGAAATCACCCTGTTGTTTGTGTTTTGTTTTTTATGTTTAAAAGTGTAAAAATACACATGTACATTCGTACCACACTGTATTATTTCTGAAAAAATAATAAAAAAATTCTTTAAAAAATAAAAATCTTTCTGAAAAAATAAAAAATAGTTTAAAAAAAAATCTCTTTCCGAAAAAAAAATTGTTTTAAAAAAAATATATTTTTCTGAAAAAATAAAAACATTGTTTTAAAAAGAATCTCTTTCTGAAAAAAATTAAAAATAAATTAAAAAAAGAAGAAAGAAAAAATTTGTTAAAAAAGAAAAAAATTCTCTTATGGTGGAAATTAATGAGAAATTCTCTTTTCTTTGCTTTTAAAGCCTCTTTGGCTCAAAGGAACCCACCTTTGAGTTTGTTGTCCACGTGCTGGCGCAGCCAGGGGTAGATCCCGTAGGAAGAGGAGTCTTCGGGGATTGGGTTCTCCTTTAACCAGCCTCCACAGGAGTAGCTGTAGAAGTCCTCGCAGGGGTTCACAGACTGGTCTATTTTACTGAGAATAGACCCCGCTACAGAGACAAGGAGAGGTTTACCAGTTTTGGGAGGAAATTCTGAGTGAGTCCGGGCTTAAATTCCTCTCCTTTTTACTCACCTGCTTCGATGCATTCGGGGGTCACGCAGAACTCCTCCTGGCTGGATTTTTGGGAAACTGTGGAAGAAGAAGAAGAAGAAGAAAGCTGAAATTGAAGCTTGGCCATGCAAATCTATGGCAAGTTCTGATCTTTTTTGGGAACTTTATTGCCTTAAATGCGGGTTATCAAACATTTAGCATCATACAGGGGAACAGAAAGAGGCAGGCAAACATAAAAGATAAATAAACACAAAAAAACAATAAATAATAATAATAATAAATCAAAAAGAAATTGGGTCTAGTCTGTCACACTGTAGAGGGGATAGCACATATCTTATCAAGTTCTGTACTCCAGGAGAAAAGGGATATTTTAGATTTAAAGAAGCCTTAACAATAACAGCAATAATAGTAATACATGGATATAATAAAAGTGTTCAAGAGTCCTAAGCAAGATATTCAGTAACTGAGGAGCCAAAATAGGCTAAATGACCTTTTCCAATCCATTTATCATGTTCATGTTATTAAACTGGAGTTTTAGAAAAGAAGAACAACATTACAGCAGAGACAAAAACTAAAATACATTATAAATATGTTTAGAAATACAATTAAACTTTGTTCTGTCTATTCTTTTTATCTCTTTTAAATATCCGAGTTATATCCTTCCTTCATCTGGGATATGAACCAGCTAAAGAGGAAAAGGAAAAACTGGGAAACTATTTTAACCCTTTAAATACAAGAAAAATAGGAAGAATATTGGATTTTTTTAGTCTGAAGTCTTTCTTTGGCCCCTCAACAACGTATGAAGAAAAAAAACTGAAATTATTTTGATCAAATTAGCGTGCAATAAGTCAAAAATGTATTTTGGTGTAGTCTTCTACTGGCTGTTATCAGGTATGTCTGAATGTGTACAACAGGGGTTTGAGCAAAGCTTTTACCACTGAATGATGCAAAAAGTCTCAGATCCAAAAGACCGGATGAATCAGATATGATACATTTGGCATTATAGGGTTAAGGAGGCATTAACCACATTTCTAAAGGAGGCTGTGAGGAGTTTCTGAATCTCCATCTCAGGTTTATCGCCCTCAGAACGGGAGGATCGTGTTCAGATGAGGGAAGTTAGCTGGAAGTTGGAGTCTCTGTAAACAAAGGCAGCGCCCATCGCTCCAGCAGGATTTCACACTCAGGCCTCCGATTCCAAAACACACAGAAAAGCTGAAACAACACCGTCCTTCACCTTAAATCTGCCAACGAAACACAGGAAAATCCTAAGATGAATTACATCTTTTTAAATGGTGCCTTTAATGTAATTAAATTGTAGATTTTTTGGGAGGATCTGGGTGAAACAAAAGTGAATATCTTGAATTATGTGTCGCCTTAAATCACTTTAAACTGATTTTGATGACAAATTATTTTTAGATCCAACGTTGCTGCGATATAAATGTAAAAACAAACTATTTTGGACAATTTGTACCCAAATAGAAGAACTAAATGATTGAATTTAAAGAGATAAGTCGATTTCTGCATCACAGAATTAAAGGGATGCAGCAGGAGTCTTTTTTTAAATTTTTTTATTTTATGGATTTTTCGTTTGGTTTTGATTTTGTTCCAAACATTAAGGACAAGTAACAGTTTTATAAATCAGCCTGAAAAATGATTCATACAAATTTTAACTACTTGGGCTAAATGATTAGCCTTTTTCGGCCACATTTGATAGAGCGGGAAGCTGCCACTGGGCTTATTCTCAGTAAATGAATACCTTATTTAAACAATCTCATCAAAATCCTGCTGTTGGATCTTTATTGTTTGTTTATTTACCAATTGGGATCATAAAAAAGCCTTTATGGGCCTTTCAAATACAAATCTGTGCCTTTGGGGGTCTGATTTTAGCCAAACAGGTTACATGTGTCCAGTGAGTCTTTTTCCCTCCGATGCATTTCTGTTACACTTGTTTCTGATCATTTTTTAAATTAAATTAAAATCAGCTTTCAGATTATCCAAAACCCTCATCAGGAGGGAGGAGGGGGGGTGCAGTTATGCAACAAAATGGACATTCAAGTGCTCTCTGAGCCCATGTTCTCCCACAGTTTTAGCTTTTTTCTTCGCCTATGAGCTCAAATATATATATTTTTTTAATTAAAAAAATAAATAAAAAAAAGCATGCACTGCGTTTCTGACTCTTTGACAAACAGTCGGCTTTGGGAATCAAACAACTCAAACAAAGGAACTCTACCTGGAGCTTTTTGCCTCACAACTCATTTAAAATCTGGATTTAAAAAGGTACCGAGCTCCTCAGTTACATTGAAAAATTGACAGAAAAGGTTCAAAACTGTCATTTGAACATCAATTAAACCAATAAACCACTCCACAAAGAGCCGTTTTACACAAATAAACGCTCCAACTTGTAACAGCTTTGCCCCATAATGAAAAGGAATCCCCATATTTGCTCTCAATAAAGCGTCCCAGCACTAATTATCTGAGGCCCTTTCTCAAAGTGTCTGAATCCCACCAAGTTAAACAGTCAGGCTTCATCGTCCAGTGTTTTATATTATATATATATATATATTCCTCTTTAAGGACCGGATATATATATATATATATATATCTGGTCGTAGAAGAGGAATAAAGCCGTCTAAAAAAAGAAGTGGAAAATGGAAAATCACTCATTTCCTCATCAGATGGTTATCAATTTTTATAAATTCATATGATGTGATTTTCTGGAATTTTCTTTGGGATTCTGTCTTTCACTGTTAGAATGTACATATGATTAAAGTTATAGATCGTTGCATTCTTTCTAAGTTGGCAAACCTGCAAAATCAGCAAGGGGTCAAATACTTACTTCCCCCACTGTATATATATATATCTCTATCCGGTCCTAAAAGAGGAATAAAGCCGTCTAAAAAAAGAAGTGGAAAATGGAAAATCACTTGTTTAATGTTTCTCGTGTAGGGACCAGTGCTTTCCAGGAATATGCCACATTTTTGTTGGATGTAATTACCCCACGGCGGCCAGCGGGTGACCACAAGAAGGCCGAATAAGCCCCGCCCCCCCAGAAGGTGAGCCTCTCGGATTTAGAGAGCAAATCCTCATTTGTGAACGGATGGATGGAGAGTTACAGTGACCTCTGGGACCAAAACAACCCCCCCTCACCTCCGGTCGCCACGGCAACCCCATCTGCAGCCCTCCACACACACACACAGACACACACAGAGAGATGTCACGTAATTATTAAAGGCTAAAACAAAATGGGAGAGAAAGCGCCCGGCATTCCTTGGGACTCGGGGAGGGGCGGCCTCAGTGGGTGTGTGGCGCCACACACACACACACACATATATACACACACATATACACACAGACACACACAGAGACACACAACTGCACTTTAGGGCCACCACAGGAATGCACACGGCCCTCAATAATACCCAAAAAAACAATACTTATCCCAGAACACCAGCCCCTCCCGGTAGGACCATCCTCTAAACCAAAAGCACCACCACAGCTACTGGAAATTTAAAGGAACAGCGGGATGGGTTTTTGGGGATAATTGCGAGTACAAAATAAATGGGAAAGGCTTACCAAGCTGCTCATCTTTTTTGTTTTCTCAGCAACACAAACGAGCCTTGGCCTCCACCAAACCCGGATCTTCTTTAATTACCCCCCACAGATATGTAATGACAGGGCCCAAAACCCCAAAGCACAGTCTCTGAACAGGAAGTAGTTTGAGGAAACTACCAATGCCCATATATGGGCGGCACCGGCCTATTTTACAAGACTCTTTTACTAGTTTCTTTCTTTGAGCAAACTGATAACTTGCTAGTTTTGTGTATCTGTGAATAATTTTAACATTCAAGCAAGTAAATTAATTTCCAAAACAAAACTGACCTTTTTAACATATGAGCCACTTATTAATAAATGTTTTAAAGCTGTGATTACCAAATTTAGGCTGTGATTTTAAGGCTGAGTTCCCCAATTCAAGTCGTTTTCTGACTATTATTGTTAGAATTTAGTATTTGTGATTTAGGAGAAGTCCCCCATTTTGATTCGTTTTAGTTTAAATGGACGTTTTGATGAGAGTGGACGGAGTGGCTGATGGACTGACCGCTCATCGGGTCATCAGGACGTTTAAGAACAGCGTTCCCACGGTGGCTTTTTGCATTTGTGCGCTTACAAAACCCTGGAGGGTCTTCATGCTAACGAGCGTTAGCTGTCGGTCCGGTTGGTTAAGATGGAAAAGCCATTTAACTAAAAAAAAAATAATAATAATAATTTGAAGAAAAATCCATTCTCCTCAGAGCTGCTGAGGCCAAACAGAAAGACCTCAGTGACCAAAAGGGAGTGTTAGGATTTGGCTATAATTACTCACTTTAGCATTGTATGCTATCACATGATCTATGTAAATTACTGATTGTTTTATTTCCTTATAGAACTATGTTTTTTGTTAAAGTTTCTGGCTGTGTCCACAGACTCCTTTTCTTTTTCTGCTGCATTAGATCCACCTTTAGGTCAACACACACACACACACACACACCATTTGTTAGCACATTCCTGTCATCTGCATGAATTAGGACCTGGCCTGTTCCTGCCCAGAGGTAACTGGCCAATAGGACTTGGTTGTGTCCAGTCCTCCTTTGAGGAGGCGGATCGAGCCCAGGAGATAATCCAAGAAGTTTTAGTCTGTCAGGGCCTAGCTGATATACTTAACTGTGTCCAAAAAATATTATTTTTTATACTTTTGATCTACTCTGGTTTTATTCTCAGGCATTTGGGTCTGTGGAAATTTATCAGAATACATTTTTAATGGGCACATTTCTAAACATTTCTATTACACACAACATGTTTGGGTCCACCAAATGGGTTAAATTTCTATGTTCAGAGAAATAAAATTCAGTAGATTTGAAAAACCTTGCTTCCCTTGTCAATTTGTCTCCCCTCAAATCTTGATTTTAATTGATTTTTATAGATAGATAGATAGATAGATAGATAGATAGATAGATAGATAGATAGATAGATAGATAGATAGATAGACTTAACTGTGTCCAATAAATGTTATTTTTTATACTTTTGATCTACTCTGGTTGGCTCTGGTGTGTGAACGCACACTGGAGTGGCTCAAGGATCCCTCAAGGATCCCTTAAGGATCTCTCCAGGACCTGAGTTTGCTCTATAACAACATGGTTGTGCAACAGTCTGCACTCACAGACCTCCACAACTTTTTGTAATGGCGTTCGATTTGAGACTCTAGAGCTCAGCTTTTAGAGTTGTTGTTCTTCTGTAAATAACTTCAGAGTCGGTCTGACCTGTTCTGTTTGGAAAGCTGGGAGATAACTGTTGTTTTGATGTGGTGCTGTATAAATGAAATTAAATTGAAAAGAAATTCAACTCACAAACGCACCGTAAATGTGTTTGGATTAGAATCAAACGGGCAAAAAACGTTTTTGTAATGCCTAACTTTTCGATTTGGTCATTAATACATTCACATTACTTTTCTAACAATGACAGTGACTCTATTCTATTCAAATACGAGACATTTTGAAACATCAGAACAGGGGAAGCAAACTTTAACCACCTTAATGCTAATAAAGAACT